TTGAATGCTGAATGTTAAATTGCTAGCTGCGCAGGGTTTGAAAATTGATACAGGTGGGGTAGAAAACATAAAACGCATATAAATAAATAAAAAAAAAAAAAAAAAAACATACGGCGTCGGTTTTTACCTAAAAACCGACGCCGTAGGTCAATTATTATTATTTTTTAAAAAAAAAAAATAAATAAATAAATAAATATATATATATATATATATATATATATATATATATATATATATATATATACACGGCGTCGGTTTTTACCTAAAAACCGACGCCGTAGGCTAATTATTTTTTATTTTTTAAAAATAATAAATATGTACGGCTTCGGCGTTTACCTAAAAACCGACGTCGTATGTAAATTATTTAAAAATATATATATATATATATATATATATATATATATATATATATATATATATATATATATATATATATATATATAGAGCTTCGGCTTTTAGGTAAAAGCTGAAGCCGTATATTACATACGACGTCGGTTGTTCAACCGACGTCGTATCATTTACTTACGATGTCTCTTAAGACGACGTCGAAAGATAACCGACGTTAAATGGGGTATTTTAACCGACGTTAAAACCGTTTTCTGTAGTAGTGGTCCTTCCTTACACATTGACGAAACATTCTGGTGCACAACCTGCATGTGACATGTCACCTCCAGGTACTGTGCACCATTGCAAATCACACAGGTGCACATATGCACCTTGACTAGTTCTCTTGTCCCGCAGAATTGATATCATTTTCACCCTTTTTAGCGTCTAGTTTCCCAAGTAACAATGAATGTGCTGTGAAAAATAATTTCGACTATTCCATTACAATCCACTTAATGAATATAACAACTTGAACTCACCACTTTAAATAATTTTAATCGGTTTGGACCTAACTCAACTTGTTCATGAAGATTATTCAAAACAATTCATCGCGGCTCAGTTTACATGATTTCTCTAACAATTAAAACAATATGATTACATGTATCGTAAAAAATAAAAACCTTCTCTCTGAAATTATTATGGTATTCTGGTTTTCAGAAATAAACTAAACGCATTAATACAATCCATGAATCTGCATACTTGCACACTGGTCAAGCACTTTGATGCACAACTACTGACACTTACATGCAGGAGGAAACCACCCTTTTTTCCAAATACTTGCACTTTTCTAAAATAAACAAATTTAATATTCATACTGATACACATTGATCTTCTCAGAAGTAGTAAACCTCAAAAAATTAGTATTCGCATGGTTTTCTACGTAAGTCATGACACTAACAAAGAGTAATAGTAGTCCAAAAAGTTTTTAATTACTACATTCACTTGCATCTCAGGCACGTAATCAAAACCATCCTCTTCAAACATTTGGTCCCATAACTTACATCTCCTGCGAGAATACTTCAGTTTGATGAAATAGGGGTGAGCTTGCCAGGTTTTGTGCATGATGCTCATTACACTCACTAAGAAGAATGCCACTCATGTATTCCATTTTGAGGGCTTGTATTATTGATGTGTCCCCTTTGCTGAGCCCACACTCCCATTTTGTACAACTTGCTCCTATAAATGTCTCTATGTGTCTCATTGTATAAACCACGCTATTGAAATTGGTCTTTGTATCCCTCCATCGCATTTGCATTCTTTTCAGCTCTAACTTTAGAATTGTAGCTCCCCTCTCATGATCTTTCAAATCATCTAGAAATGTACCTGTCCTCCTGTTTACATAACATATCTATAATTAATAATTGAATTCCATCATGCATCCCGGACTATCATGACGACTCGCACAGTCCAATTTATTTTCTTAATGCACACTACACATGGTAATGCACATTTCACAGTTAACTAAATGCACATTGTTTGCGACTACCCATTACACTTTCAAGTAGTTAGTGCATGCGCTGGTATTCATCACATGCTTGCACACAACAAACTATCTATAATGCATGCCTCTAAACCACATTTGTGCACATACGCATGCGCTGTATTTAAATATCATTTACAGCATATTCCAAAATCCTATACTGTCGGATGCTTACCAAATTAGCAGGGATCTTCCCATATTTCTTATCTTTAGTTTGTGCTGACAAATTATCAATGATTTCCATTTCTTCCCTTTCGCATCCACAAAAAAATGACAAAATAGTGGGAGTCGTGAAGTATTGAAAAAATAAACTGCATGACCATATAAGGCTTTTAGGAAGACGACCAAAAAAAAAAAAAAAAAAAAAAAAAAAAAAAAAAAAACTAACTAACTATTTCCTCTCCCATTCACAACCCATCGCCGCCCGTCTCCTCTCCCATTCACAACCCTCCTCCCAAGCTCAGAATATGGTATTTTTGTTCATTAAATAGAGAAAAAAAAAAACCAACCAACATACTCTGCATTCACAAACACCCTCGCTGTCGCTTCACTACCCCCTACACCGTTATTCATCCGCGATCCCAAACCCACCGCCCCCTCCCAGAAAGTAAAAAGAGCAGCACACAATTATTAGATGCTCTGTGAAAATGGTACAGTGCACAATAGTTTCATTTTTTATTACATCAAAAATCAAAATCAATTCCAAGAAAACAATAAGATACATTGCGAACTCCGTTCACTGCATATTACACATAGTAGTGGCGAAAAAAAATCTGAACAAAGTCTTACAGATTCTAGACGCAGCTTCAAATGATGCTCGCCGTTGACTTCTCCGAGGTGTGGTATCAGCCATAGCTTCCGGTTGTGTCATACTCTCCCTTCTCGTTAGATTGTGCAAGGAATTTTGGTTGAAAAGAATGTACAATGCCAACAACTCACCTAGAGAATCGGTGTTTTAACCCTAATGGAAGTCAAACGGATTATTCGCACCTTCCATTCACGTCAATTCCCATTCAGATTCCCATTTACCCTTTTACCCCCTACATTTATTACTTCTACGGTTATTACCAATTTTAGTGGGTTTTTAATTACTAGTTTTGTGCATTCTGAGCCATTAGATTGTCTCATCCAACGGATCAAAATCAGCCACAATCCTCACCTAGGGCCCTGTCCTCACTTGATCCTCACCCTATATATATATATATATATATATATATATATATATATATATATAGTAGTAAAAAATAAAGAAAATTATAATTCTTATCACTAAGTTAAAACATTATGACTCAAAAAATCTCTATATGACTTGAAACAAGCTCCTAAACAGTGGGTTTAATTAAATAAGCGTCGAGCATCGAAAGGTGGGAAAATAGAAGACCGACCACTAACAAGTGGTATTAAATAGAGAACCAACTGCTGTGAAGGGTTTGTAATAGAAAACTGACCACTGAAAAGTGGATATAGATGATCGACCACTGAAAAGTGGTTAATAGAAGGCCGACCACTGAAAAGTGGTTAATAGAAGACCGGTGACTGAAAACTGGTTAATAGAAGGCCCACCACTGAAAAGTGGTTAATAGAAAAACGACCACTAAAAAGTGGATAATAAAAGACCGACCAATGAAAAGTGGTAATAGATGACTACCGACTACCGAGCACCCATTATCCTAAGTTATTTGTCTATCTTAAGCTAGTGGACTGTGCGGCAGTCCCTCAGTGCTTGCCACGAATAATCAAACCTCCAAAGATTCAAAAAACACAAGTAAAGAAATAGTCAGCCGCCTCGCGTCCGAGGGGTGACTACTGGGCAGTCTTCCTAGACCGAGCAGTTGTATGCTTTAAGCTGAGTAGCTTGAATTTTCCACTCCTTTCAAATGCAAAGGCTTGAAAAAGCCAAGGTTGCTGACCTCGTTGAGAGGAGGCGAGGGTGCGGCGTGACCGGCCAAGAAACACATCGCCTGGAAAGGCGGAAATCAACCGTCCTCGTCAAGAGGATGTGCGGCCGCGGCGTGACCGGCCAAGAAACTCATCGCCTGAAGAGGCGGAATCAACCGTTCTCATCAAGAGGAGGTGTGGGCGCGGCGTGACCGGCCATGAAACTCATCGCCTGAAGAGGCGGAATCAACCGTTCTCGTCAAGAGGATGTGTGGCCGCGGCGTAACCGGCCATGAAACTCATCGCCTGAAAAGGCGGAATAAACCGTCCTCGTCGAGAGGAGGTGCCTTCGGCTAGCCACTACGTTCAGCGGTGCCCCTTATGCCTCCAATGTAATTGTTATTTTTTAACACAAATACATTTTTGTATGTCACTGTACACACAATTATGGAACACAGTAGGCACGAAGTTCAACTTCCTTGCCGTAAAATTGCATTGTGCAGCTTGCGAGGTTTAATTTGCAACTTGCAGATGTCGTGACTGCTGATTCAGAAGCCATGGCTACTGGACAGTCTTTTACCATAATAAATAACCCATAATCCGATCGCTCTAGCCAGGGTGAATCTTTTCCGATGTTCCTTAAAGGCTTCGTCCTTAGTGAGCTCCTCTCTATTCCACGCAGTCATGCTTGTCGAGTAAGTTCGATCTCCAGTCACATACGCTTTTACACATTCTGACAAGGGCTAGCTAGTACTAAATCCCTAAAGCTGACTTGATTAATTCACAGCAAATGCGTACCCGATCAACAGTTGCAAGTGAAGGATGTCCTGCTTCTCCATACCATGGAACGATCGCCGACTGCGGATACCACTGGTTCATCGACGTCTGTCCTTGGTTCGCCGTCGATCCGCGACCCGAGGCCGGCAGCATGTTCGCCAACCACCTCGTATCTCTCTGGCCGTCGACTGAGCTTCTATGGTTGCTTCCTTGCTGGCGGGGCGTAATTAAGTATTCCTGACAAAATAAGTGATAACAACCTTTTGTTATAAAGGGGCAGTTCTGTCTTTTCACACTGCCTTTCCCTTTTCCCTTTTCAGTTTTTTTTAGTTTTTACTGTGCACACTAGCATATATAAAGAAGTTGACTTCCTTCTTCTCTGTATGAAATTCTATTTCCTCTTCTGATTTCACTCCATCAATAATAATGCTCAGCTTTGCTTCTCATCTTAGCTTAGGGTAACTAATGCTAAGATTTCATCATGGTATCAGAGCGTCGTCCAAGCTACGCCGCAGTGGTTACAGAGAGTAATGTAGCCGGCGGGGAGAATTTGGCCGGACAGACTCCGAATCCGGGAAATCAAGCTCCGTTCCTTCAAGCTTCAACACAGCGGAATGATGAATTTGACGATCCGCTATACTTACATATCACTGAGAACCCGAATCTGGTTCTTGTATCTCCTCCACTGTCCGAACATAACTACGCTTCATGGAGTAGGTCGATGAAGATAGCCCTAGAGGTGAAAAACAAATTTGGCTTCGCTAGTGGATCAATTCCAAATCCAGGGGAGAATGATCCGAGGTATGCGGTGTGGAGGAGGTGTAACACCATTGTTTGCTCGTGGATCCTGAAATCTCTGAGTTCAAGCATCGCGGAGACTGTCCTATACTACGAGATTGCAGCGGACATCTGGAAGGCTCTCAAGAAGAGGTATACGCAGGCTGATCCTCATAGAATTGCGGAGTTACAAAATCAGATTTATCGAAACACACAAGGTAATTTGACTGTTAATGAGTATTTTACAAAATGCACTGCGTTATGGGAGAAATTGAATGCTATGAGACCTATATTACTGTGTGAATGTCCTCCTAGATGTACTTGCAATCTACTTACTAAAATGCAGAAGGAAAGAGCTGATGACAGAGTTATTAGATTTCTAGATGGTCTCAATGATGACTTTGAAATCATAAAATCGGGGGTGCTTGTTATGGATCCTATTCCGGATATGGAAAAAGTTCTTAATATGGCCTTAAAACTAGAAAGAAAACTCAACAGCTCTATTGTTCAAAGGAATGATGATTTGGTTCAGGCTAATGCTGTTCAAAATAACCAGAATATCTCTTTGGGGGATCAAAATCTTGTGGCAGTTTCAGATTCAAATAATAGGAAGAAATTTGGCGTGGAGGTAAGAGTGTGCCTAAGTGCACCTATTGTGGCATGAATGGGCACACGATTGAAAAATGTTATAAGAAACATGGATTTCCACCTGGGTGGATACCAGGTTACAAATCCAAGAACAGACAGAATCAGGAGGTTCAGCAGTTTGCAAACTCCTCCACAAGTCAAGTTGGGGACATGGGGTTGTCAGCTGATCAGTTTCAGAGGTTGCTGACTTTCATGAAGAACCAAAACCAGAATGGCCAAGCTTCTACTGCTCAAGCTTCCACCAATGCTGCTATGAGAATGGACAATTCAGGGATGAGGCCTACTTTCAAGTCCAATTCTGATGAACTCAAAGAAGGTAGCCTTATTTCTAATCTATTTGCTAATACTGTTGTTAAGCCTAGCTTATGGATCATTGATTCAGGGGCAACTGATCACATCATTTGTTCCCTAGAATATTTTGAAAGACATGAGACAGTGCATGGGGTTCTTGTGAAGTTACCTAATGGAGAAACAGTTAGTGTTAGTCATGTAGGAGAAGTGAGACTACATGGGAATATGTTGTTGAAAAGTGTTTTGTATATCCCTTCATTCACTTTCAACATAATTTCTGCTAGTAAATTGGCTAAGCAGTTTTCATATAAGCTTATTTTGGATGCTAATTCATGTCACATCCAGGGTCCTCATGGGAAGATATGTGGTTTTGCTAGGGAAAGTGATGGATTATACCTGTTGATAGATCCTCCAACCAGAAGAAAGAAGCAGTGTGCTGATGAGATTACTAGGGCTCAGTGTAATAGCTTATCCCTACAGTTGTGGCATAATAGATTGGGGCATTACCCTATGAATAAGATACCTTTTCTAGATGGAATAAAACATGAGCAGTTTTCTAAGTCACACAACCTTGCTTGTGATGCATGTCATTTTGCTAAACACAAGAGATCAATGTTTCCTGTAAGTAGCTCTAGGACTGATAAATGTTTTGATTTAATACACATGGATATTTGGGGTCCCTTTGCCATTGCATCTCCAAAAGGGGAACAATATTTTTTAACAATTGTGGATGATCATAGCAGATTTACTTGGCTACATTTAATGAAGAGTAAGTCAGAAGTTGCAGTACTCTTTCAAAAGTTTTATTACTATGTTCTTAATCATTTTTCTGTGAGCATCAAGACAATAAGAACAGACAATGGAAGGGAATTTTTCATGGATTCTTTTTGCAGTGAAAAGGGAATTATTCATCAGAAGTCATGTGTTTACACACCTCAGCAAAATGGAGTTGCTGAGACAAAACATCAACACATATTAAATGTGGGTAGAGCTATTAGGTTTCAATCTGGTCTTCCCATGAATTTTTGGGGACATTGTGTTCTCCATGCTTGTTACCTCATAAACAGATTGCCAACCCCAATAGTTGATGGGAAGAGTCCATTTGAAGTCCTTTTTGGCAAAGCTCCAAGGTATGATCATCTGAAAATCTTTGGATGTCTATGTTATGCTGCTACAACATCACAAGGCAGGAACAAAATGCAACCAAGGGCTAGAAAGTGTATTTTCTTGGGAGTTCCTGCTAATGTTAAGGGTTACTTACTGTATGACATTGCTAATCAAGATGTTTTTGTGTCTAGAGATGTTCATTTTTATGAACAGATATATCCCTTCTAGGAACAAGAGAGAGATTCTGTCAACCAACCTGAGAATGAAGAGATTGAAGAGGATGATCCTTTGCTGATTTGTCCTTCCAAAAATGCAAAACACACCCCCCTTGATTCTTCACAGAGGATTGATGATTCTAATGACACTGATAGGGATTATGCCACTTTCAGTAGTGGTGATGCCATTCCAAACAGTCTTGACAATTCAGAGGAGGACTCCCCCTTACAACCAGCCACTGCAATACACAATGAAAGAGGACACCATACATGATATGAGCTACAGCCAGCCACAACATAGAAGATCAATGAGAGTAAGGAATATTCCTGCTAAGCTCCTTGATTATTATTGTCAGACACTAACAAAGAATGAAGCTAAAACTACCCCTCATCCTATCAGCAAGTTTATATCATATGAGAACTTAATTCCTAGTCACAAAGTTTGTGCTTCCACCATTTTGTCTGCTGTTGAACCTCAATCCTATAATGAAGCAGTCAAGCATGAAACATGGAGAGAAGCTATGCAATCTGAAACAAATGCCCTAATTGAGAACAATACTTGGATACTCACAGAGTTGCCTCCAGGTAAAGTTCCAATTGGTTGTAGGTGGGTATACAAGATAAAGCACAAAGCAGATGGGTCCATAGAGAGGCATAAAGCTAGATTAGTTGCAAAGGGATACAATCAGCAATTGGGAGTTGATTATGTTGAGACATTCTCCCCTGTGGCTAGAATGACCACTATCAGGACTTTTTTGGCTGTGGCTATTGCAATGAAGTGGGAAATTCAGCAGTTGGATATCAACAATGCATTCTTACATGGAGACTTGGAAGAAGAAGTATATATGACCTTACCTCCTGGTTTTCAAAACAGTAATCCAAAGATGGTTTGCAGGTTAGTCAGATCACTGTATGGATTGAAACAGGCCAGTAGACAGTGGAATGCAAAACTCACCAAGGCTTTGATAAACAACAACTTTCAACAGTCTAAGGCAGATCCATCTTTGTTTACCAAGGGTATAGGGACATCATTCATTGCATTACTTATCTATGTGGATGACATCTTGATTGCAGGAGCAGATTTAAAGTTGATTGATATGATCTAAAACAATTTCTGGATACAGCTTTCAGAATTAAAGACCTTGGACACCTCAATTATTTTTTGGGGATAGAGGCCTTTAGAACTTCCAGTGGATTAAATCTGTGTCAAAGGAAGTACACACTTGAGATCTTGAAGGAAAATGGCTTCCTAGATGCTAAGCCCACTCCAACACCTATCCTTCCAGGCCAGAAATTGACAAGCATGGAAGGCAATCTGCTTGAAAAACCAGAAGAGTACAGAAGGTTAGTGGGGAAACTCCTCTATTTGACTAGTACCAGGCCTGACATTACCTATGCTACACAACAACTAAGCCAGTTTGTTGATAAGCCTAGAGACACACATCTTGTTGCAGCCCATAGAGTACTGAGATACCTCAAAGGTTCCCCTGGAAAAGGCTTGTTTTATCCTGTCAATTCTCAAATAAAGCTACAGGGATTCTCTGATTCAGATTGGGCTACATGTGCAGAGACAAGAAAATCCATTACTGGATACTGTATGTATCTTGGAGATTCTTTAATTTCTTGGAAAACAAAGAAGCAGGCAACAGTTTCCAGGTCATCTTCTGAGGCAGAATACAGGGCTTTAGCTTCTTCTGTTTGTGAATTGCAATGGCTAGTGTATTTGTTGGCTGATTTGGGAATTGTTCATAGCAGTCCATGTGGTTTATATTGTGATAATCAATCTGCTATTGCTATTGGAGAGAACCATATGTTTCATGAGCGCACCAAACACATAGAGATTGACTGCCATGTAGTCAAGCAAAAGGTCAATGAAGGAATTGTAAAGCTATTTCCAATTTCTTCTCAAAGGCAGATTGCAGATGGCTTCACCAAAGCCTTACCAAAGGTGACTTTTGATATCTTTCATGATAAGCTGGGCCTTCAAGATGTTAATGCTCCAGCTTACGGGGGGTGACAAAATAAGTGATAACAGCCTTTTGTTATAAAGGGGCAATTCTGTCTTTTCACACTGCCTTTCCCTTTTCCCTTTTCAGTTTTTTTAGTTTTTACTGTGCACACTAGCATATATAAGGAAGTTGACTTCCTTCTTCTCTGTATGAAATTCTATTTCCTCTTCTGATTTCACTCCATCAATAATAATGCTCAGCTTTGCTTCTCATCTTAGCTTAGGGTAACTAATGCTAAGATTTCATCAATTCCCATATGCTCAAGACAAATTGTGCGAATGGCGTGCTCTTCAGCCTTCGACTGTCCATGCTAGGAGAAACACTTCTTCGACATCCTGCATCAACTCGCCAGTCGCCTCAATCGCTCACCATATTTCGTGACTGCCTTCTCCCTTTTGAACTATCAATCCCGATTTCTCGCCCGTCTTTCAGGGCGGTCCGGATAGATAATAAGTACTTCAATGGCTGACCAGGTATGAACCGTCTGGATGCCGAAAAAAGTCGTCGACTCTACCTGATTGCCCAGTGTTATTCTTTTCGCGACATGGCTGCTGTGTCATTCCTACGAGCAACGGTAGGCCTAGACTTCAGACTTTGTATATACATGGACTTTGTATATTGTGTACAAAATTCTTTTTTCCCTTATGTTTGCATGCAGCAAAAAGGAAAGATTCCATATTCTTAATGCAGCCACGTGCACTAGGTATTCACTTTCCATATTTAATTGCCATGATTTTGAAACCTTGGCTTCAGTCATGTACATGATGCATATATTCCCCTTCCATATAAAGATAGTAGTTTGCCTTACCAATCTTCTCGGTGCATGGTCTTGATCGTGGGAGTCAAAGCCTCAACCACTAGAGTCGTAGACTGACCGCGCTATAATTGACCCGATACTCATCCTTCTTTCACGGCGGTCAGGATCAATTTGTACAGACTACCTTTACGCCCATCTTATTGATCCGATTCTCATCCATATTTCAGGTGGTCAGGATCAATAATTATCTTCACAGCCGACCGGTCAGGATATATATATATATATATATATATATATATATATATATATATATATATATATATAGATTTTGGATCAGGTGAGGTACCTAATTAAAATGAGTTCAAATGAGGCTCGATCCTGTGCGTTTATTTTTGGTTTTGAGCGGCTGTGATTGGAGGCAAGATTAAGCCTAGAATGGGATGCTGTATTTAATTTGGGGGTACTAATGTAATTAGCCATGAGTAATTATTTTCTTGCCTTTTTATTTTGATGCGCTGATTCATTTTCCTTACGAGACATTGGATTAATTATTGTCTTTCCGGTTTCCTCGTTAGCGTCAATATTCAATACATCCGCAGGCCTTCCATCTTCTTCTCTCTCGATCGTCGGCGCTCAT